CCCCAAAACCCCAAAACCCCAAAACCCCAAAACCCCATTTACAGACAAAAAATAGACTCTAGTAGTTCTTAAATGATAAAAATTTCCCATTCTGGAACAAAGGTTTAGTCTCCCTGTTGAAGTTCTGGATCATAGAGTTAGCCAAAGAATGGTCAGGCTGGATCTCAAGTGTTCTCTCAATGTCTGAATAGGCACTCTCAACAAGGCCGAGTTCTAATCAGGCCTTAGCTCTGTTTACAAAGACATCTGGCATCGAGCTGTTGTAGTCAATACTTCGAGAGAATTCGATCTTTGCACCTTCGTAATCTTTTTCGTTAAATCAGTTAACTCCTAATGCATAGTGTGTAAGAGCAAGCCTAAAGTTGATCTTGGGACCTTGGCCTCCAAGATCAAGAGCATAATGATAGTCGGACAGTGCTAAATTGAATTTCTTCAATTCTCGGTATGCATCACCTCGATTTATATACACTCCAGGATCTTGGTCCATAAAGTTCAGTGCTTCGTTGAAAATAGTCACCGAGTCATGGTATTTCCCAAGAGAAAACAATGAGATACCCATAGTGTTGTAAGTAAGACCAATCTGGGCATTTACCTGGTGCTCTAGACCATCCACAAACATGAACTTAGAAGCCCTCTCTAGGTCATTTAGAGCTTTCTGGCATTCATTCTGCTCTCGGTATAAACTAGCCCTCAGAAGTAGTAGCTTGGGCATGTCTCTGAACAGCTCAAGACCCTGACTAATGTTCTCAAAAGCAGCACTTATATTCTTTTTAAATATATTCCTCAATGCTTCCTGGTATTTCTCTTCAGCTTTGGGCTTCATAATGGATAAAAATTCAACAACTTCAGTGTGATCTGGGTTGATGGCATGAGCTTTCCAGAAATATTCATTCAAGCTGGGGTAAACTATAAGTTAACTTGTATATATACATACCTTTGCTTCCACTATTAGACCAAAGAAGTTTTCCTTTCAAGATGAGTACTTCAACATTATTCGGGTCTTTTTCAAGTCATTTCTCAATTTCTTCAAGAGCTACTAACTTATTCCCCGCTTTAATATAAGCAAGGGCTCTGAGATAGATAAATTTAATATCGTCAGACTCAATGGTTTTGACCAGGTTAAGGACATCATTACAGTATCCCTCCTCAATGAGACCAAGTCCTTTAAGAAAATAAAGCTGATTTAACTTCTTTTCCCAGTCTTCCTTGTATTTAAGCTGTATTGCCTTCTTAAAATTAGCTATTGCTGATGAAAAGTCGCATAACTTGAGATAAATCTCTGCTCGTTCAGCATAAGCTTCTGCGATAGACTTATCGTAAAACAAAATTTTGTTAAATTCACAAAGGGCTGACTCAAGATCGCCGACTTCAACAAAATCATTTGCTCGATGGAGCCTGTCAATGATAATCTGCTTATTTAACATCAGAGAAGATAAATTTATCCATATTATCATTGCCTTTAACTGAGCTTTCCTGATCAGACTGGATAGATTCAGCCAGTTCTTCCTTATTCTTCCTGTTAATTTCGTCAAAATTATAATCTTTGATCATCTCTTCAGACTGGTCCATGCCATCAGGGTCGTTGCCGTCCTGAGAGTCATCAACCAAGGATTTGGACTTCTCTGTTTCCATTGCTGAAGGGGAGGAGAATTTCTCCCTATTTTGCTCACTGGCTGGCTCTTTATTTTCTTCTTCCATACTTTTTAAATTTAATTGTAATTTATAAGATTTTTGGGGTTTTGGGGTTTTGGGGTTTTGGGGTTTTGGGGTTTTGGGGTTTTGGGATTTTGGGGTTTTGGGG